CATCTTTCAGGTCCAACACAGTATACCATACTCGATTAGGTGGGAGCAAGCTCAACTAAGTATAAGGGTTAGGTACAGTGGGGTGTAAAGTCACAATCGGGTTGTCTTCCTTTTGGTGGGCCTTGCAATGTATTACTGCAAGCTTCTTGGGCTCCCAAATAGCCGCTAGCAAGTCCAAAATTTTGGAGGCATTTTTGATGGCTTTTCCCTCCAAGGTTAACAGGCCTCGTTCTTTATAAATGGCCCCGTGGACATGTAGAGTGGCAAAGGCATATCTACTGTCCATATAGATATTGACAGTCTTGTCTTTGGCCCATTTTAGGGCCTGAGTCAAGGCTACAAGTTCAGCCTTTTGTGCAGAGGTGTGAGCTTCTAGGGGCTCTGCCCAAATGACCTCAGTTTCAGTAGTGACCGCCACCCCCGACACTTGAGTACCTTCATGGAGATAGTTGTCTCCGTCTGTGAAGAGCGTGGCATCCACTTGGGACAAAGGCACATCGGTCAGGTCTGGTCTGAAGTTAGTTAGTGATGATCATACTGCTTCCATCCACAAACAGTAGGGTCTCCACTCCATGGGGCACAAACACACTCAACTTCTGTCCCAAGGTTAATTTATCAGCTTCCTTAACCAGGACAGCAGCAGCTGCAACAGCTCACAAACAGGTTGGCCATCCGACTGCCACATAGTCCAGTCTTTTCGACAAATATGCCACTGGGCACCTCCACGGCCCTAAAGTCTGAGTCAGAACTCCCCTTGTAATCCCTTCCCTCTCGTGTATGAACAACTGAAAGGGCTTTGTAATGTCTGGCAAAGCCAAAGCAGGAGCACTCAGTAGCTCCCTCTTTAAGTCATCAAATGTCTTTTTCCCGTTCTGAGTTCCAGTCCAAGGGAAGGTTATTGCCCCCTTTCAAGGCTTCATATAGGGGTTTGGCAATAGTACCAAAGTTTGGCACACATAGACAGCAGTACCCCACCGTTCCCAAGAATTTTCGTAACTCCTTTCGGTTCCTTGGCTCCTTCAGCCCCTGGATAGCCTGGGTCCGAGAGGCTGAGAGGGAATGGGTTCCCCCTTTCAATGTGAACACCAGGAACTTCACAGTTTGAACACATACCTGAGCATTTTTCTTAGAGACTCGATATCCCTTATCCTGTAGTAGTTCTAACAGCCTCTTTGTCCCATCCTCACACGCCTCCTGAGTTTCTGCAGCTAGCAACAAGTCATCTACATATTGTAGAAGGGAGACATTGGGGTTATTTTCACCAAAGGGTACCAGGTCCTTTGACAGTGCCTCCCCAAAGATGGTGGGTGAGTTCTTGAATCCTTGTGGTAATCGTGTCCACGTCAGCTGGCATTTGCGTCCCCCCTCAGGATCCTCCCATTTGAAGGCAAATAAATCCTGAGAAACAATAGACAGAGGAATACAAAAGAAAGCATCTTTCAGGTCCAACACAGTATACCATACTC